TTTTTCTCCCCACCTGACCCTCCCTGCATCTTCCCTCTCTTTGTTTCTTCTTGCATCTTCTTTCTCTTTCTCTTTTCTTTTTTCCCTTACTTTCTTTGAAATGGAAAAACTGTAAGTAAAGTTGTAGAGTATAGACCAATTTTTAAATTAAAAAAAAAGAAAATAAGTTTTAAAAAAAAACCAAACCGAATCGAAGCCGAGCAAAAAAAAAAACTGAATTGAAATTAAACTGAACCAAATTAAAAAAAATGAACCGAACCAAAATTTCGGTTTGGTTTTGGTCTTGGCAAAAACTTGAACCGATTGAAACCGAACCCACCCCTAGTTCCAATGACTCAAGTCTCCAGAAGTGGAGATTAAAAATACAAGCTCTATAACGTTCTAGATGAGGTTATGATCCAAATTCTCAAACAATTCATCTAATAAGATATGACTGTCCTAGAAGAGATAATGTAAAGCCCCTGAAAAGGTAAGGATATCCGAAGTAATGAAATAATTATAAATATGCATGCGCATGCACATGAGAATTATGGGATCAAGAATTGATGATTACCAATGTTAATTTTGCTTTTATAGTAGCTACTAAATTCATCAATGAGTTGTGTTGATATTGAGCCACGTTCTTTTGTTCGTTGACTAAAAAGAAAAATTATTGGCCAAAATGAAGAAAGGCAATTCCATTACAATTTATTAAGAACGTGGAAAAATGAACCTATAGTACAAATCGTCAAATGATGTTGAACCCAGAAGGTTACATATAGGCATTTGTAATACAGTGAAATACACTCACATGATATGACACAAGGTAATCAGAAATTGTAATACAGTTTTGGAAACATGATTTCTCATTGTAAAGCTTGTTCATTTCAGTAGAGAATTATACATGCCCGAAGCATATCTCCACAAGTAAATCCCTCAAGTATACATGAAAGCAAGTTGCTCTATATAAATTCCAAATGAGAATGTGTCATGAAGTGTAGAAAATCCCTAATTCAAATTGCTTGAAGAAAGCCTTGGAAGGGTAAAACATAAATTATGTATTCAATACCAATGAATGATATAAATTGCCTTAATGAGTACTTTCATTATGATATTGTTGCAACACATTGAATCTCTTGCAAGAGTTGATATTAGATTGGAACTCTTGAAGAGTCTAGAAATATTATGAAGTGTTGAAAGGAATATTGTCTCCAACTGCAGATTGAACAATATGCCAACAAAAATCTTATCCAAAATGTTTATGGTATTTAAAAAACCATATGGATTGAAGATTATGAGTTGAATACTAAAATGATTAACCAATATTTAGACACTAAGAAAAATCATTCATCATCGTGAGGAAAATGATGAATTGATATTTGGTCTAGGAGTACCATATCTTAGATGGATATGTGCCTTACTATATTTAGTACAATACACTGAGTCAGATGTTACATTTCCTGTGAAGCACAATACCAACATATGATATTAGAATGAAGTAAAGTTTATCTTTTGGTAACTCCAGGAATTATAGACATGTGCTTATTCTATTCCAAAGAACTCACTAATAGACATGGTATTATTGGGCAAGTAAAAATCTGAATATCTTTCTAGCCTGCATACAAATCACTCTAAAAATGATTTGTATTTACATATGGAAATAAATTGATCCTACAACGATCAAGGAAGCAATATTCATTGCCACATCTTCATATCTCTCATAAATACAGGAGTTTGGTTAAAACCTGTGGCCATTAAAATTTGGAGTGCGTGTGAACCACCTTCAAAAGCAAACACTCCAACTATCATGAATGATATCAAATTACATCAACATAGTAATCAATCATATTAAAGAATTTGAAATTAGGATGAGATACTCATCAGGAAAAGCATCCAAAACATATCAAGGTTTTAACAAGGTGACCGAAATTGACATATGGCCATCCAAGGGGAATGTTGTAATATAATATGTGGATGGCCCACATGAATAGTTCATTACTATTCATCCAAAGAAAAAATAGACGGGTTACAATTCATATAAAGGAAAACGGATGAGTTACTATTCATGCACAATATTTCACTATTCATTTGAGGAAAGTTTGTAAAGTGAATAGTATTGCTATAGTAATCGCATCAGAGATTTTGAGTTCGAATACAGCCCTCTCCCAATATCACTTTTATATATATATATATATATATATATATATATATAATAACAAAATAATTATCAAAACAAGTCCGATGGACTTTGAAGCTACGGACACATTAACAAATTGAATAATTGAAAACTTTGATCAGTCCAAAACAAGATGCCTGACGAAAGTGTGTCTGTATTTGAGAGAGTGATAATTATTGTTTTAAGTTTATGATTAGCATTCCGGTTCAATTGTATTTTTTTATTATTTATAAATAAGAGGTGTTAGGTTTGAATTTTGAAAATGGCAAGTTCAATGTCAATTTATTTTTCTCCTCTTAGTATAAATATATTGTTGTATAAAAAAAAACATTTATAATTCAACATTGTGATTTAGAGGAAAATTTTGAGATTCAACAATTGTTATGTGTTAGAAAATAGGGAACTTTAACGAAAAGCTCCTGTTACTGTTTATTTTAATGAAAAACCACATTTTTACACTAAAAAATCAATCATGGTACTATTCACTTTACCCTTTATTTTGTCATTATCATTAAAACTTAAAATTTTCAAGCTTTTTTCATTATTTTTCCTTAGAAAATACTCTCCACACTGATTACTGATTTTCGAACTATAAATTGTTATGAGTGACAAATATATATTGTACTCATGATTTATAGTATACTAATTACGAAAATAAAATTGTGACTACTTAATGAAAAACTACGTCGTCAAGTATATGTGACCTCACTTTCCATGCATATATATAAGACGCATCTTAATCAGTTTGCGGCGGTGCAAACGCAAGTTGATCTAACTAAGTGACATGCTATCTTTATATTTTAGCAATATTTTTCTTACCATTCTTAAGTGGTGGTGATGTTCACCACTTTATTTATCATAGTTAGATGAGCTTAATTATCAAGATTTATGTAGTAGTGTTATTTAAACATATTCAACGATGCTAAATAAGGTGGTGAATATTATCAACACTTGAAGTGGTGAGCCAAATTACACCCCCAAATATTGTGAACGTGATCATACATTTTGAGACTTGGTGGGGAATATTATCATGAAAATAACACCACTAGGAAAAACTCAGAACTAGGTGAAGTTGACAGTTATAAGGAAGTGAGGGCTGGAATCAATAGTACCACTACTTTTCCACAATGTACAGTAGAGTAAAACACTTAGGGAATGTTATTTAGTCAAACTAGAGTGTGGTCTTCCTATTCAGTCCGTTGTGTTTCGGATTCAAATTATCTTCATTTTTCTTAGTACAGATTAGTGTAGAAAAAAATTTATGTTGCACACTCCAAATTTGGACTATTAATAATTTTTTACATGTTGGGGGAGGGGAAATGTAATTGAGCACAAGGCCTTAAGTGCAAAAAGTGATTTAATCGTGGGTCCTTGCTAAAAATCACAGAATTCACCGTTCACCAAAACTTGAAGAAAAAGAAATCTAGGCTTTCAGAAAAAAAATATAGAGAGAGATGAAGGACTAAATTCTCATTCGACTTATTATCACAATTACAACTGTAGTAAGCGATAAGCTTGTATACAAAAGTGGATCAACGATTATTGGGACCCTCTGCTCAATCAGCATTGAAATATGCTAAATCAAGGAAATTAGGAGTAAATTGAATTCCAAAGATCAAATTTCCCTTGATGTACCTGAGAATCCTCTTAAATCCCATGAGATGAACTGAAGTTGGACTACTCATTAATTGCTAACAGTACTATTGGCAGCAAATGCAATGTCTAGGACCTGAATATATATGTAAGGTATATTGTAAAGCTCCTACTATACTTTGAAACAAGCTAGGATCTAGAAGGGAAATTCCATCATACTTGATCCATTTTCGAGCAGGACCTAAAGGTGTAGATAAGGCTTAAAGTCCTGCGCGCTCCCATTTTGTTCAATAGCTTAGTAGCATGCTTATCCTGATTCACCGACAAGTCCTGTTGTTGACGATGGACTTGTAAGCCTAGGGGTGGTTTGATGAACTATTTCATTTTCAGTCTTAAATTTTTATTTTTTATAAAATTAAAAATATGTTTGGTAACTATTTTTAATTTTTAGGGTTTTGATAGACAAAATTGAAAACAAAAACTTGAAGGCAAATTTTGAAAATTCAATGAACTGTTTCAATTTTTTTTAAACTGAAAATTGAAAGTAGTAACCAATCGAGTTTTTAGTTTTTCAATTTTCTAAAAAATAAAAAATAAAAACTAAAAACTAAATAGTTATCAAATAGCCTCTTAACAAATAAGAACAGGATCCAAGATCATCTTACAGTATTCAAATTCTTTGAGTTTGTTCTCTCTTTCTTCTTTCAATGCAAATCCCCAAATTCTAGGGTTTTAGTTGAGAGATTTTCACAAAATTCCCCTAAATTAATTCATTTGTTTAAGTAGAATTTTTTTTTCTTTTTTTGACAAACAATATGATAATCTACATTAAAATATAAGGATGTGGATTTAGACACAGATCTTTCCACTAAGTTACAAGTCACTTGGATCTGTTTGAATATATTTAAGTCTTTAAGAATATTAATTAAACTCCAAGCCATAGTGGTGAGATCTACCATACAGTAGTGGATGCCTTTTTTAATTTCTTTTATTATTAGAGCCTCAGCCTGTGGAGTGCGTGGGGCATACACACTGAAGAATATTTGGTTAAATAGTAAGGAAGAATTAGAAACCTAAATTATATTAAGGTTAATCAAATTATTGTGCACACGCCTTCATACACGTACGCAAGGATATGATCGATGCCACGCACTAAACTTTCGGAGCCATAAGAATATAATGTCTGTGTGCTGGATTGTCTATATATAGGCATCAAATTAAATTATGAAAATTGTCTTAAACGGCAGAAGAGTATATACTAGAACTCAATGATAAATTATGAGCTTTAATATCGATGGACCAATTAATTTTACAAATATTAGCTAGTTAGATCGTACAATTCTACTATTAATACGAAATCCCCTCTTCAAATTAGCTTGTTACTAGCTATAACATTGAAACAGCAGCTAGCTGCTAGGTTTCACCATGTCAACCAGTGACATAAGGGAAGTACATTAGACTTGCCACAGCCTCTTGCAGCCAATCATCTTCGTCATATTTCTGAAAATTGACGAGTAAATGGTAATTGGTTATTGTAAACAAAAAATGATAACTAATTATTGGACGTGTGGGTTAATTTGCATGTATGCATGCATAAATTAAGATATTGCATTTGCCTGGCATAATTATATTTTTAAAAACCTACCTGGACGGCACCACTACTACAGAACGGTTCTGATCGCTGATCTTTGCAAGTTTGTATATTGCTCTGAGTCTTTTTCTGTGCTATTTCCTCATGATGATCAGTGTTCCTTGCAAATCTCCCTCGAACTCGGACCCTTCTATCAGCTAGGGTTTTGCGACAAGCGTACTGTGCATACATAGAAAAGTAATTAATAATGAATTCTTAAAACATGGTAGATGCATATATATTTGCTTATACAAATGTTCTGTTGTTATACTGTTTTAATTATATTGTCAAACTGTGAATTTAACCCATTAATTAATAATTTTTTATTGTCTCACTTTGTGATTTAGATTCGCAGTTTAGTAATTTAGTTTCAATATTAAATATATTTGAACTGTTGTACCTTAATAGTTTTGTTGAAGTTCCTTTGGTTTCTTTTCTTTAAATATCTGTCAATCCTTTCTTTCCTTTCTTCTTCTGAATACCTTCCCACCTTCATAGTGGACTGATCTTCAACTGTAGGCACCTGCTGATTGTCTTGATTAATTGCCTACACACAAAATTTTACACAATTAATATTCTACAGGATCTCAGTTAACCATATATGCACAACACTACTTTGCACCATATACGTACTAATGATAAAACAAAGGAAAAATTAGTATCCGGTCCCTAATTCTTATTGTTCATTGACTAAGACCTTATTAGTTCTCAAATTTTGATTCAAGTCCCTAGCATTAATGTGATAATGAATTTACATGTTTATTATATAATTTTTTAATATAAAAATTAGTAATTAATTTAAGGTTTAATACTCACACCTCTATTAAACTTCTAATTAATTTTCAATTCAAACATTTCCAAAATAATACTAAATTAAATTAAATTAAGTTTGTACCTATTAGTTTTTTTTTATATATATAAAAAGATTCTCAATTTTTTAATCTTAAATGTACCCATTCATATAATTTTTCAATTCTTTTAATCTTAAATGTACCCATTCTCAAATATATCAATTTGTTATATTTAAAATGTACCCCTTTTTTTTTTAAATATAAAATCCTTTCAAAAATTTTAATCCATGTTTAAACTTATATGGGTACATTCTTTTTCGTTGATTTGAGAATGTATCCATGTTTTGGTACAATAACTTTTTTTGTTAATTTTGGTTAATGTACCCATACATATATGTACACACACACACACAATATAATAGAGAGTATGATTTATATTTTATTAAATTATGGGTTTTATTTAAAATCTCATTAATATAAACAATTACAAATTTCAATTTTTTATTTTTAATTTAAAAAATATAGTAACTTACATTATTACATTAATGTCAGGGACCTCAATCAAAAACTAAAAAGTAACAAGGTTTCAATCAAAGAATATTGATAGTTAGGGATTGCATCCAAAGTGTCCCAAAAACAAAAATATAATATACAAATTCGTTATGATAAATATGATCAGCTAGAAATAGCATACCCAATTTTCTTGACCAGCAAAGCTAAACGGCTTGAAATCGGATGACATGAATCCAGTAAAACTATCCTCCCCGAACTGCTCACAGATATAAGGAAGGTTTAATTCTCCACCAAAATTGGGAGTCCCTCCAATTACATGCAACCCCATATTACCATATTCCGAATATGTACCAGGGACAGCAATATCTTCCGAAAATCCTTGTAGCTCTTGGAACGAAGCTGCCATAACAGACGAAGAGATGTCGGATTCTGGTGATACCACATCAAAATTAATCGCAGCATTGCTACTATCACAAAACGGTACCAAGCTTTCTTCACAATTAGTACTAGCACTCCACACTGTTCCACCTAAAACTGCAGTACTGCAACCATTTTCTCCGTTCACCACTGGAATTGGGTACCAGTAAAAATCAGAAGGGAGTGAATGGTCATTGTAGAATTGATGAGGAATGGAAGCCATGGACAAGAGAGCTAGCTGGTGAAGGGCTAATAAGGAACTGAATTTTTTATGCACTGTGTTAGTGAGGCTTTGAACCATATATATATAGCAATGGTCAACGGGATAGTAGCTAGACCACTGTCTATTTGGACAAGTTATTCTACCCGTACAGTTTCGGGCAACTGACTGGTGTGCTGCTGCTTAGACAAAAATAGCTAGTCGGAGCTAATAAACATAACTAGCTCCGTGTAACTGTCACATTTAGTTTACTGTTAGGTTGAAGCGCGTAAACTTTTGTTGTTTAACTGTTTAAGGTTAAAGACAAGTTCTAGCTAGTGATGGTATTAATTATTTAACTACACTACGAATTTGGTAAAGATGCTATCAACACATATGTGGGGTATAAATTGCACTTCTCCTGTTGGTACAATTGATAGTTTTACAAAGTAATAATAGACTTTTCATATAGAATAGAGAGGAGTTTTAACCCATGCGGTGATTAAGAACACACCCTAGGTTCAACGTTAGATTCCCGCCTTACCTAATAGTAGCTTTTACCAGGTAAAAAAAAACATGTGGAAAATCTAATACTTAAATCAAATAAAAATAACAAATTAGATTAAGCAGGTTGTGTAAGAAAAAAAATATAGTATTTTCATATTTTCCATATTTATAGTGCTGCACACTATTCTCTCCAACCCACACTTTTTAAACACAAAAATGTCTTCTGTTACTAAACAAGTCAAGTCAAACCATGCATGGCCCTACACTCAATCAAACATAACATTATTGCTTTGAGTTTTATTAATAATAATGAGTAATAATAATAATAGGTATATAAAATCACTTTGCAATATATATATATATATATAGACATATATATATACTTTAATTAATAAAAAGAAAGACAATAATAAACAGCAAAGCTGGTTACATTTCTGATTCCAAAATCATTATCCCCTTCTTTTCTTTTTTGTCAAACATCATCCCCTTCCTTTTGCAATTGCTTTACACTATATTTGGATGAAGGAAATAAACTTGGAATTTTAGTAAAAATCAGAATTTATAAATTAACATGCACCAATTCCCTTGTTTGGATTCATAAACATAGAAATTTAGAATTTCCGTGTGAAAAAAAAAAAAACTTGAAATTTGGGACCTCCAATTCCCAAGTTCAAATTCCATGTAAATAGGTGTTATTTCCCAATTTATATGATTGAGAGTTTAAAAATAACAAATTCCGTATTCAATTCCATTGTTGTTTTAGGTTAACCAAACAAAAAAATTTACAAATTCTAGAAAATAAAATCTTGTCATTTCAATTTCCGTCATTTTAAAATTCCTTAGTAATCTTAAATTTTTTCATCCAAACATAGTGTTATTTTTCTTAACTGAAAATCGTTAGTAAAAAGGAACTCTCTGTCGAAACTCCGGTTTTTATGACCTAACTTTTCTGTATTAAAAGAAAAAACCCTACTTTTCTTTTTGTTAGATTTGTCCCTTAAAAATTAAACTTGCATAAAATGACATTACAACAAAGCGTTTTAGCGAGGAGTACACAACCAAGAGAATTATAGTAGGCTCACCCCCAAATTGCTGGCTCGTGCATGCATGCCATATTCAACAATAGGAACAGAACTACACAACCAAGAGAGACTAGGAAATAATATAAGGAAATTTTGTTCATTCTGCAAGAGTTTTAGTTATCCTTCCTTGAAGGTTAAAATATGTTTTGAAGAAGCATATGGTCCAATATCATGGATAGGGTGTTGGGTTTTTATAAATGTGTTTTAAGTTCGAAACTTCCTCTCCTTTAATTTTTTGTAATAGTTTTGAATTCTTCCATCTTCCATTAATAATAATAAAATTTAAAACAATAAATCCATCTTCCATTAATAATAATAAAATTTAAAACAATAAAAAAAATTGTTTTGAAGAAGCATAAAACGAAAAGTTGGCTTGAAGAGACCCGATAAAGAGAAATAGAAGGCCTCTTTTGAATACTATTCTTATACTGTTTAAAGCTGTCCAACCTATAGGTACTACTAAAGAACTGACCTACTTATACGCTAAGAATCTAACACATGGGCATGTATGATTTTTGCATCAAGAAATCAAGTACAACATATATGCCTGCCTCAAACTTGATCATTCATTTACACACCAAAATATAACTAAACTATTTCACTGCTTCTTATATATATGTAAAGAGTTATTTTTGCATAATCAATACAAAAATGTTGTCCGATACATATATGAACATATCTCTGCAAACATCCATTTACTTGGCTTTTAAACAGAAATTTCGTAGAAGCCTATTTTTAATAAAAAAAGATTAGGAACTTTCATACACACTAATTCCCTTTTTTCCTAATTTCACATCATCCTTTACTTGGCTTTTAAACATTTTGGCAAAATGTTGATGGTGGTGAAATGTAGCAACAAAGATTGTCACTCAGAAACAGAAACCAAGCACTGCTTCTATCTTCTTTTTTATTCTTCTAATGAAGTTCTGATTTTCTAAGAGGGTACGGTATCTGGTTCACCATGTCGTTGAAAGATTCTGGGCTTTCTTTTCATACCAACTCCAGTATCAAATAAAATATGGATAAATCGAAAGGGATCACAAGTTGGGGGACATGTTTGTTTGAGAAAGATTTTTCAATATACCTGAAACACAAAACGGTACACTATGTCGTTCTCTTATATCATATCACATTGTATACTACCTTGCATTTTGGATACACATAAAAATTTCTCGTTCTTAGAAGAGCATTTTTGGGTACCAATTTGTGTGGGTGCAGTTTATCTCTCACTAGCTATTTGCCACAAAAAGTGAAATTTGAGATAGAATTGAAGATTTTGTAGGCGGTAGTAGTGCATAGAATCAGGTCCTCTGGTAAAACTTTCCATGCCATCAACAGACCAGATTTGTCTGCAGACCCCTACACCCACTTGCATGTGAAAAACTGTTCCTCACTAAGCAACGTTCTCACTCTTCTTTTGATTGAAATCCATACACAGTATCGTCCAAATTTTGATGAGACATATAGAAGATCATAATTCTTAACCCACTCTCTAAAAAACATAAAATAAAGATCTTATTAGGCCAACCCCTTATTTCCTAGGGTATATAAGTAAGTTCAAGAGCATCTTGAGTAGATTAGATAAACTCACTTTTAAGTCCTTTTCTTTTCACAAATTCCCGCAAATCAGCATACTAAGTGTGGCCGGTTGGAAGAAGAAAATTGAGTGAGCCAAATTGAAGTAGAAGTAGGCTTACTTTTTTAAAGTTAAAATTAAATTTAATGTTTTTATATTTGATGAAATTGCAAGATGACATCAAACAGTGTATAAGACAACAAAAAACCAAAAGCAACAGCACAAACGGGCAAAACTAACACCGAAAACCGCATTAAGCCTAATCTTTGGGCAAGTTCACACAACCCCAAACAACCTTAACTCTAAGGCAAGCTCTAATCCTAAATCATAAGCATCATTGCCACCACAAGAGCCTTGCCATCAAACCGATCACATCTAGTCAAGAAACAATTGTAAAACAAGGGCAGATATTGAGAAAGCTCAGTCTGCAACGATCTAATAACTACGCATAAGAGCAAATAGCAAAGGATCCTTATATGACAACAATGACCAAAGAACTAACTCGAAAAACAGCAACAAAATCCTTCATAAGCGGAGTGGTTTTAATGATTAGGGTTTAGGGGTTTTCTTTTCTTACCCAAATACAATCAGATTTTGAGAGAAAGATTAAATTGAAAAGGGTTTAGGGGTTAGGGTTTAGGGGTTTTCTTACCCAAATACAATTAGACCAATCCAACATGTTCATGTTGGTACAACGTGCGTGTTGTTCGGAAATGAATCAAAAGGCAGATTTTCCTGGGAGCATAAAATCACAACGCAGCATTTTTTTCTGTATCCCATCATTTACCAGTCAAGATCCTCCTTGCTCAGATTTGTCCAGACTTTACCGTACAGGCTAAATCCTTTTCCAGTCTAAATTGCCCCCTCTGATTAAATGCCATCGCACTGCTTTTTCTTGTTTCGTATTCCCTTCCAAGATATGTTTGACCAAAATGATTTTACAAGAAACTTGGGTTGGGAGGAGTCAATCGATAGTAGAAAATAAAAAATGCATCTTGGAAATTTGATGGATAACCCTAATCTATTGAAAATTTTGAGATCTATTGAAAGATATCAAGTCTAGACCCTAGTTAGAGCCCCCGAAAGCTTCCATTTTCTCCTCATGCACACCCATATTTACGAGCTTATGGATCAAAAAAACCAATGGACAATCAAGAGAAAACAGCAAACAGAAGTGAGCTAGGGCGTCACCCGTAAGTGGCGCGCTGTGTGGCCCGAGCACAGTGATAAGTGAGCAAGGGTCGCTGTATCTCTATCGGCACCCGGATGCAGTGTTAAATGAGTAAGGAGGCCATAGAAACTTCTTTTTCGAACGACTCCACTCAAAGTTGTTTAGGAGCATATGCTCCTATCAACTTTACACAGGACACACAAAAGAAATACTTTGATCCTATTGGACAGGGGAGGGTGAAGAAGCTAGGACAGAAGGGTAGAGTTTAAGAGAGTAGAATGCGTTTAGGAACGTGGAATATAGGAACCTTAACGGGAAAATCTATGGAAGTAGTGGAAGTTATGGTGAGGAGAATGATAAATATTATGTGCCTACAAGAAACTAAGTGAGTTGGTCTTAAGGCAAAGGATCTAGAAAACTCAGGGTTTAAACTTTGGTATTCGGGCACAAATAGAACGAGAAACGGTGTTGGCATCGTCATGGACAAGACCTTGACACAAGATGTTGTAGATGTCAAGAGGGTAGGAGATAGAATCATAGCAATCAAGATTGTAATAGGACAAGAACTCATCAATGTGATTAGTGCGTACGCACCTCAAGTAGGGTTGGATACGAGTTCGAAGGAGAAATTTTGGGAATACCTTGGAGACTTGGTGCAAGGAATTGCCCAGACGGAGAAGTTATTTATAGAATGAGATTTAAATGGACACGTGGGCAGGGAGACAGGCAACTATGGAG